TCTTATACTGTCTGATGTCTCCCTTCACCCACTTTTCTGTTGTCCGTCCCCCCAGGGAGGAGGTTGTATGTAGATCCTTGTGATCGGTTACCCCTTTCTACCCCACCTTCCCTTTACCCTCCCAGTATTGCTACTCCCATTATTGGTCCTGAAGGGTTTATCTGTCCTGGATTCCCTGTGTTTCCAGTTCTTATCTGTACCAGTGGACATTCTCTGGCGTAGCTAGATTTGTAAGGTAAAATTGGGGTCATGATAGTAGGGGGTAAGGAAGCATTAAAGAACTAAAGGAAAGTTGTATGTTTCATTTGGTGCTACACTGCACCCTGGCTGGCTCGTCTCCTCCCCGCGACCCTTCTGTAAGGGAATGTCCAGTTGCCTACAGTTGGGCTTTGGGTCTCCACTCCGCACTCCCCCTCAATCACAATGATAGGATTTTTTTGTTCTTTGATGCCGATACCTCCTGATCCCTTCAATGCCTCATGACCGCACAGACTGGTGTGCTTCCTCCACGTGGGCTTTGTGTTTCTAACTAACGTCGCTTTACTCTTCGCAAGTCCCTTCCTTTTGCTTTATTTAGATGATACTATCGATGACAAGAAAAACACAGCTGCCACTCCTGGGTAGCGACAATATTAAGCCCTGGCACATAATCAGCACTCATTCTTAAGGCAGATACCAGCACCACGTCTACACAGATGAGGAAACTGAGGCGCCAAGCAGTTCCTGATAACAGCAAATTGCAAATATCAATCGCTATTTAATTAGGAGCCACTTAAGGCAATGAATTCTCTTCAGAGTACATTAAAGCTAGTACGCTTCAATGTGTAATATTATAAAAGTCATTTTAAAATAAATATTCTGTAACCAACTTCCTCTTTGAACTAAAAGTTATTTAGGAAAGTGTTAAGATTGTTTATTTCAAGGTGGGAATGTGGGGTTTTAAAAAACATTCTTTAGCTATTAAGTTCTAGGTTGTTTGTTTGTTTGTTTTTCACCCCTTAAGTTCCAGTTTTATTGTCAATGTGCAAGTCAATAAATCCAGTAACATGTCTTTCTTTTTAAACTTGTTTATAGATTTACTTTGTGGCTCAACAGACTGGTTCCTAAACCTACATGCTACCAAGAATTACCTGCAAGATTTTTCTAAATAGAAATTTTGAGTAGCCATGCAACAATAAAGGAGACCAAGTAGGGTAGCTGGTTATGCACTGGATTATTAACTGCCAGGTTAGGAGTTTGAGCTCACGAGTCACTCCACCGGAGAAAGATTAATCTTCCTGCCCTGATAAAGATTTACAGACTCAGAAATCCCCTGGGACAGTTTGATGGCAGAGGGACAAGAAGGAGCTCAGGTGAGGCAATGAGTTAGCACTGGGTTGCTGGCTGAGCAGTTACGTGTGAGTGGATGTGACACTGCACGACTGGCAATCTAGGTCTATAGAATATCTTCGTGTGGATGTTCCCTTGTATGACTAAGCTATAGCTCTCTTGGCCACACTGATGGTTTTTTTGCATTCAATGCCACTTTTCCTTATTAAAATTGCTAACCTTGCGTTTATTTTTTAATGTTTGCTTGCTATTTTTTAAAGTCCTATGAGTTACTACTCTAGTAAAGGTGTATAGAGAATGTGTGTACACATAAACACGTATGGGGGGGGCTTCAAAAAGTTCAAGGAAAAGACGCAACTAAAAGATGGTGAATTTTCCCATGAACTTTCTTAATACCCTATATATGTATCCATGAATCTGTCTACAATGATTTCTTTTCTCTCTCTCTCTCTTTTTTCCCCATTTGGAGGTATAACTCAAACTGAGAATCTCTGCTATTTATTCGTGCAATTTAATTATCTATACTTATTTTGCTCACGTATATAAGGGGGCTTCAAAAAGGTCAGGGAAAGCTTCAACTATCTTTTAATTCCACTTTTCCTTAAACTCCTTACACCGCCGTCACAGTTATCTACAACGCCTTTACATTCTTTTTCTGTGTGTAAGTTTACCTTGGCTTCCTTAGTAATTTGGAATACTGTCATTTGACCAGTGATTTTTCTACCGATGCAATACTAAATTTCCATCAAAATATGTCCGCTATTGCTTTCCTCTGTGGATTCTGTCTGATCTCGGGCATGTCGTTTTGATCTACTGCTTTGTCTTCCACCAGCTTAGGCACATCGAGGCGGTTGGTGTCCATGCAGAATCTTCTCTTTCACAGGCTTATTACCCCCCCTCTATATTCAAACTGGAAAAGAAGACACCTGCTCAGGCTTGCTATGTGTCTCTGAACTTGGCTCTTCCCATGGTGTACCCCAAGGTTGTAGAACCTCTGTCCAGATTTCAGCTGGTTGTGATAAGCTCGTGCAATCAATCAAAGAATACAGAAACGTCCAGAAAATGAAGTAGGCTCTGGGGGTAGGAGTCAGTGGCAGCAGGGGAACTGCATCTAGGGATACCTTCTTTGTGGCTGCGAACGCTGCTAAGCCAGGGGGTACCAATGTTTTTGTTTTGGTTTGGTTTTAAGATCATTTTATTGGGGGCTCTTACAACTCTTATTACAATCCGTACATCAATTGTATCAGGCATATTGGTACATATGTTGCCATCATTCTTCTCTAGACATTTACTTTCTATTGAGCCCTTGGTAACAGCTCCTTTTATCCCCATCCCTCTCCCCCACCCTCGGCACCCCTTGATAGATTATAAATTATCATTGTTTTCATCTCACACCAACTGCTGTCTCCCTTCCCCCATGGCTTCTGTTGTTCTTCCCCCTGGAGGGGAGGGTGTGGTTACGTCTCGTTCATTGGGATCGGTTCCCCCCCACCTCCCCCCACCCTTTCCCCTACCCTTCTGGTATCGCTACCTCCACTCCTGTTCCTGAATTCCATGTGTCTCGAGCTCTTATCTCTTATCTGTACCTGTGTACATGCCCCGGTCTAGTCCAAAAGGAGAGGCAGCACTGGGGTCATGATAGTGGGGCTGAGGAAGCCCCAAGGAAGCAGAGGTATACTGTGTGTTTCATTGATGCTCTTACTGCACCCAGGCACCCAGGTTGACTCATCCCTTCCCTGTGGCCTCTCAGTGGGGGAATGTTCCATTGTCTGCAGGTGGGCTTGGGGTCTCTGCTCCAACCTCCCTTGTTCTCAACAATATGTTTTTGTTTGTTGGTTTGTTGGTTTGGGGTCTTCTGATGCCTGTTACCCAGTCCCAGTGACACCTCACGATCACACAGGCTGGTGTGCTTCTCCCACGTGGGCTTAGTGCTTCTCTGCTAGATAGCCAGGCAACACCCACTTTCTTCACCACCTTTGCTTATGGCCCTATGTTTTTATGTCTGGTTTCCAGCTTTGGCCTGCCATCGCTCCAAGTGCATGCAGTGACTGTCCAGATTCTTAGCTAGTGCCTCTTTTCTTTCTGTCTCCCTACCACTGACTTTCTCTTGGGAGAGCCACCCTAGAGCTTACCTCTAGGTTCCCCAGGGCACCGCTTCCAAATGCTGCTGACCCCAAGACAACAAAAAATGGCTGCGTATGGCGCTCACTCCTAAAAATTCCACGGTTCTTCTAGAATCCATCACCGTCATAAGTAATTCCTATACTAAGCTGTTTTCTAAGAAAGAGGAGCACAACTCCTTCAGTTACCAGCCTTCCGTAATCCTGTGGATTGGTTACTGAAAGATAATGGAAACACCGTCAAGTGCATGCTGCATGCCTCATATCTTTTTCTAGCATTCAGTCCTGGCGCAATATCTCAGACGGGATACAGCACTGGAACAGGAAGTTGGAGTTTCAGTTCTCATCTTACTCAAGAAGCCTACCCCAGCTTGTTCTGATTTGTATGACGAAAGGAAGAAGCATTCTTTATGGAGGCAAACTTCACTCGAAATCCTATGTGGAGATGGGGATCCAGGTATTATCCTTCAGAAAATTGGCTCTGCCTATTTAATGGTCTCTCCTCTGCCTTGGAAATATGATTTCTAGCCCGGTGAGCACAGCAAAGAAAATTGCTTCCTTTCTTAATAAAACTTAAACCCAGATTCGATGTGTGTTGACATCTCCCTTATACCCTGTCCGTTCCCCATTCCCAAGAGCAAGGCTATGGGCTCCTCTTTCCCCCCATCGTTAGCTCAAAAACTGGGGAGAAAACAACTTGTCCCTGCCCTCCCCCACCCCCGGAAAAAATTACTTTCAAGGACTTCCCTTTCAATTCAGCAAATGCACACAAGTTCAGACGCTTGGCCTTCCACTTGACCTTCCCTGTGCTTCCGCTACCCCACCAGGAACGGAACTAAGACAGGGCATTCTGTCCCTGTCACTAAAACAATGCCCATGACATAGATTACGCATGCTCCCTTCCCACTGGGCCATAACTCTTTCAAGAACAGGAACCAGGTCTTATTTATCATTATATTCCCCAGCACCCAGCACGGCTCCTGGTCCATAAGAGGTTTGCAAAACATGTTAGTTGATCCAATACAGAAACGTGTTCTAGCTCTCGTCCTTGCCAAGGTCATCATCCAGAGAGAGGTGCTTCAGCTAAACCTCAGCGCGCTCTCCAAAGCATTCCCGTTGAGAGCAACCTTCCATGGCAGCGCTTCCTGCTCACCCAACCGAGGCTCTGGGCTCTGCGTTCCCTGACTAGATGCGCGCTATATATTCCAGCCACACTGCCACCTCTGCTTTCGCTTCTCAACTCCGTGGCAGCCACAGTCTCCCACAAGAAAGAGAGACAGGGAGGGGAATGGTCCGAGTGACCTCGGGCTAGGACACCACTCCCGGATTTCCACAAGAAATGGCTGGAACACCTGAATTTCCCAGCCTGGCAACTTCAGACACAGCCCCAGGATTATAGCTGGTCTTTCCCCCCCACTCTTACCTCCCCCCCACCCCACCCCGGTCCCAGCACATCCAGACCAGACTGGTCAGACTGGTATTTCTGGGTCCCCAACACAGAGCAGGCCTGTCTCAAGGAGGCGTGGCCTCAGAGAGCCACAGCAGCCCCACCTGAGAATGATCCGAAGGTACTCGATCCCCTCTGCCTCCTCGCACTTGATGGACAGGATCAGGTTGCCCAGGCTGCTGCCAGTACAGTAGAAGTTTAGATGGTCCTAGGAACAGAAGCCTGATGTTAGAGAGGAGCAGGGACCCTCCAGACGAGCCCCTCAAACCACCTCCCAAACCCAGAATTAGGTGTCCCATGGCCATGAGGAAGAGAAGGCCAATGATGATGAAGAGGATGACTTCAGCAGTTACCAAATCCCGAACTGCCGAGTGTGCCAGGAACTGTGTTTAGTGTTTACTATTCATTGTCTCCTTTAGTCCCAACTAAATGGTGACAGCATCACCATCTCCGTAATTGCCCAGGGACCCACAACTAGTAAGTGACAGGGGCGTGTTCAAATCCAGGTCCATCTTGGCTCTGCAGCTCAAGTTCTGCCCCACCGGACACTGAGCCTCGCTCCCAGAGTGCAGCGCTCGCCAGTGCAGGCTAAGAGCACCTCTGCACCCACAGGTCTCGCCCCAACTCTGGCACACTGGCTAAGACCACCCCTTCCTGGAGCCCATCCCAGACCTGACCGAGCAGGGCAAAGGCCTGGCATCTACAGTTCAACTAGAGCCCCAGGGATGCAGATGGGGCCCACTCTTCGGGAGACTGCAAAGCCACCTCCTGCTGGAGGGGACCTTCTCAGAGACTTCTGGAACGTAGCCAGTCTGAAGGGTGGAAGAGTCAAAGAAAGGAAAAACCAGCACTTTGCAGCAGTTCGGGGCTCGCAGCATCCGTCCGCTGGAAGGACAGGCATGCGTAGCCCCAGTGCGCCTTGCAGGTCGCTGCATTTCTTATGAACTGAAGGTTGGGCACAGCCCCACACTGCACAAGTGTATTGGCGCCATTTTCCCAACAGGATGTGCGCGTTCTGCGTCTCTGCGTCACGATCTGGTCCTTCTTGAGATACGGCAAACCTTCCCGACGCAGTTTCACACTTGAGAGGCCACAGTCTCATGTAAGCATCACTTCGAGATGCACCGGGAGACCCAAAGATTCACCTGAGTCGCTTTAGGGTGCGACCCACTTTCCTGCAGCGGCTCAGAACTGGGTCCATCCTCAAAGGACTTGTTTGAATGAGGAGGGCACGAGGCCTTGAGCTATATTTACATGGAGATGGACGTTTCCAGCGTGTGGGGACAGAGTATTTTTCCTCGAAGGTATGACTCCACCCCATCCTCCTTCAGCTCTAATCACGACCCAGCCCATGGGTTCCTAGTGCATCTTTTGGGGGTGGGTCCCTACAAGAGACTCTTGCCCCGGGGCCATGCTGGCTCCTGCTCTACCCCTCTTCCCTGCCTAGGGGGCAGGACTGGTCAGTGAGCTCTCCAGCCCAAGACAGAGGGGAGCCAAGAAGGGTGCAGGACCAGGAAGGAGAAGAGGAGTGGAGGTGGGAGGAGGAGGGGACCCCTGGGCTCCCATCTGTGTGCCCCTTGGCCAGCGGTTTCCTCCGAGCCCCGGGCCTCACCTTCCCCAGGAAGTGTCTGCGGTAGGCCCTGGCTTCACTCTTGCATTCAAGCTTGTAGCTGAATGTGCTGGCCCTGAGATTGTCCTCCTCCTCCTCCTCGCAGATGCTGCTTCCCAGGGAGGTCGGCGTGCCCACGGTCTCCGGGTCCTCGATCCAGTAGCCCCCAAACTGGGGCAGGATAACAAGGGGGTACGGGCCGCCCTTCTCCACAACCTGAAAGCACAGGGCGGGTCTGACCAGGTGGCTCGCCCTGGGAGGGCAGCGGGGAGAAGCTGTCAGTAGTGGTGTCCCCTGCTCCGGGGAGGGGATCCCCATTCTTGAAGGCACAGGCAGTCATATGGGAAGCACCCGATTTAAACGTGGGGAAAGCTGGGGTTACAGAGTAAGGCCCTCAAGTCCCAGTCGCAAGGTAGAGCCAAGTAGGGACCATCCCTTTCCTCTCCACAGCCCCCCCACCCAGACCCCAGGCCCCCCACCCCACCCACAGGCCCAGGGACTGCTGCCAAGGGAAGGCAAGGCTGCCAAGAAGGGGAGCCTACCTCATCAATGCTGGGATAGGGAATATAGTCGTCCTGCAAGGCAAACCAGAGAACCGACCGTGAGTCCCCGGCAGGACCTATAACAACACTCTTTCCGGCCCCCTGCTCCCAGGCCGGGGAGCGGCGGCAGGGTGGGGGCCCGGCTGACTTCCCTAGGTACTGGGGAGCCTCAGCGGGGGACCCACAGATGAGGAAACCCTCTCGAGCCAGCTCTGGGATCCGGTTTCCCGCGAGCTCTTCTTGTCACGGACAGACCTGAACACAAACCTTGCTTGCTGGCAAGGCTGTCTGGAAAGATACTGCACTTCTCCCCACCCCCACCCTGGAGACACCAGCTTCTTACCCAGGAGGCCATCTGCTATGGATTGAATGACACCCCCCAAAACGAGGTGCCTAGCCCCTGCACATCTGGCCCTGTTTGTAACCGGGAGCCCTGATATCAATATCTCTGTGTCAGGCGGATTCTAAGCTGGTCACCTGGGAGTTACGTTACAAAGCAAAACAGACCACAGAGACAAGCACACAGGAGGTTAAAAAACAAGACACAGCGTGAGGATCATCTGCAAGCAAGGGGGCGCCAAGGATGGCCGGCAGGCGACAGAAACGAACCGAGAGGCCTCCAGGAGAAATGGACGTGGCTGCGATCCTGATTCGAACTTCGCACCCCAGAGCTGTGGGACAGTAAAGGTCTGCCCTGTAAACCTGACTCTTTGTGGCGTGCGTGAGATGGCAGCACTTAGAGACTAAGTCGCTGTCACTAGATACCAGGCTTTCTCTAATCCCATCTGCGGGCCGCACCCAGGCGAGGGGGCTGAGCCGCACTGCGAGGCCCTGGACTTGGAAGGAGAAGCTGAGAGCTAGCAGACTACCCGCTGATTCCCCTCAACCCGGCGGGCATGGAGGGTGCAGCAGGGGTGTTGAGGGGTCCAACTGCCTCGAGGGCTCACTCGAGGCGCCCAACTACATCAGGCCAAGGCCCCCTTTGCTGCCCATCACGCATCGGTCTAGCAAGGACGTGGTCCTTTAAAACGGCTCTTGGGGTAAGTCCGTGCGAAGGCAGGGGTTCAGATAGAAAACCTGCCCGCTGCTCCTTCCACCTGCCTCTCGTCGATACCCCCTTCACTGGGCCCTCACCCACCCAGCCCACCTTGTTCTTCTGGGGTCCTGGCTTCTGCTCTTCGAGCTTGATCCCCTGCGGAAACAAGGAAAAGAGGATCCGTGGAAGAGCAAAGGTGACAGACGAGGCGGAGCAGAAAAGCAAAGCGCCTGGCCTTGCTGCGGGTTAGTCACAACACAAAGACGACAGCCACCGCCAACACGCGCTGGGCCCGCACCGTGAACAGGGTGCCGCTGGCCACGCTCAGTCCTCGTGGCACACCCTGGCCAGGTAGCAAGGCACCATGGCTAAAGCAGGGCTGGAGCCGAATCGCCAAGCTCAAACACCAACACTGCCCCTGATAAAGCAGCCCCGGGCTCCGGGCTCCCCTCTGTACAAAGGGCACGATGGGGGCACCGACGACCGTGGTAAAGGTTGAACAAGGGCCTGGTAAGCACTCAAGGACTGTGCTTGCTGTGTGATCGATGTTACGTGTTTGCTGTCGCCATGACCAGAGCAGACGTGTCATTGGGAGGTTAGGCTCTGTCTCCAGGTCACATAGCCAGAGGGGAGGGGCAAGGCTGGTGAGTGTGCCCCATGCCCTCCCTGCTCCGCTCCCTCTCTGGCTGGAGGGTCTACAGTGACCCTGGTCCTCATTCAGTCACTTGTGACCCTTGACAAAGTGTAACACACCTTTCACCTCAGAAATGAGGATACCAGCACCTGCACACGCACACGCACACGCACACCTGACCCCTCCGCTACTGCCGGGATGAGATATGACGACGGGACTGGGGACGAGGGGTTCACCTACAGGTATCTGGGAACCCACCCCCGAGGAGCGCAGACGGTTCACTGTCCAGAGGTTCTGCGGTGGAATTCTGACTTCATGGGGTTTCGCAAGAGGGGCGTGCACGGGGGTGTTGTCAAAAACTGTTTGAATAACTTGGGAGAGGAGACCAATTCGGAGGGGAGCGTTGCAGAAGCCATCCCTGCCTAAAGCTAACCCAGGATCTTCATCTTCCCAAGTGGCCTCCCTCTGCAGGCTCCAGGGAGGAAACTGAGGCTCAGCGGAGGACCAAGGTCAGGGCCCGATTTGAAACACAGCCGAGGCCCCCTGGGTGCCTCTGTGGAGTCCAGGCTCCCTGGGGGCATTTGGAGGCAGCCCTCGCTGACTTCTCAGGGCTGAGCACCGGGCTCACCTGCAGCGGTTTACAGAGGGTGTGGGAAGGCCCCTCCCACCAGACAGGTGCTCCCCTCCCCTCCTCACAGAGGGAGAAAACCACCTGGGTGGCCCCGCAGACCCTGTGCAGGAGGGCAGAACTGGGCAGATGGGGAGGGGTGATGTCAGGAGTTGCTTTTGTTTGCTCTGCATTAGTCATGCCCTGCCTGGGAACAGACCTCGGGCGGGAGAACCGTTCAACGCCCTCCCCCACAGTGCACACACACACACACTTACTTTGCTCACCTCTCTGTGCGACACCCGCCCATAAGCCTCTTTTGTCTGAACCAAGAGACGGAGCACCCGGTAAGTGACTAGACAGGCTATTCAGCTACAAGGTGTATGGCTAGGACTTGAACCCAGGACTGACCAGATCCAAAGCCTGGCCTCTTAACCCCCACTGCCTCACAGGGACGGTTTCCCATCTTCAAAGTCCTCCTCTCCTGGGCTGGGAGTCAGGAGTCCTGGGTCCTCGCTCCAGCTCTTCACAGCTTCACAGTGACCGGGCAATTGAAAGGAGCCTCAGTTTCCACATCCGCAAGGTGATAGACAGGGCAGGATGTGGTCACTAGGCCCCCTTTGTCATCATGACTTCCCATGATGCCGATGTCCCGCTCAGAGCCACGGAGGGGCTGGGTCCCTGCTTCAGATGGCCACGTGTCGTCAGGCCCACTCTGGCTTGTGAGGTCTCCAAGTGGGTCCCAGCAGGACTGTGCTCCCCACCCCAATGGCTGTGCTCTATCTGAAACAGACTGCCAGGCTTCTCTTCCCAGCTGCCTCAGGATGGGCTCGGCCTCCCCGCCTGACAGTTAGCAGCCAAGTGTCCAGACAATTTGCACCACCCGGGGGTTCTGTGAGCCTGGGGTTTAATAAAACCAGGGTGATGTGCTTCAAGCCCCAGCAGTCTCAACTAAGACAGAATAAGCAGACCCTACCCCCACCCCCCGCGGTGGGTACACAGAACCAAACACACTGTCTCCAAGTGCATTCAGACTCATAGCAACCTCATAGGGCAGGGTGGGTTTCCAGGACTGTAACTCTTTACACGAGTAGAAAGCCTCGTCTTTCTCTCTCAGAGTGACTGGTGGCTTCAAACTGATGACCTTGCTGTTAGCAGCCCGGTGCCTAGCCCACTACACCAGCAGGGCTCCTTATGGAATGCAAACCAAACGAACAAACCCGCTCTCATCACGGCGATTCCAACCCTACAGCACAGGGGAGACCGACCCCTGTGGATCTCCAAGACTAACTCTTTATGGGAGTAGAAAGCCTCGTTTTCCTCCCTCATAGCGGCTGGTGGTTTTGAACTGCTGACCTTACATTTAGCAGCCCAGGATATAACCACGATGCCACCAGGTATACAAAAACCAAACCAGCTGCCATCGAATCAATGCTAACTCATAGTAAGCAACCTTCCATGGGTTTCTGAGACGATAACTGTTCACGGGAGCAGAAAGCCCAGTCTTTCTCCTACGGAGCTGCTGGTGGTTTTGAACTGCCGACCATGAAGATCGCAGCCCAGTACGTAACCACTGCACCACCAGCGGTCCTAGAGCTATACAAAGGGAGATAAAACCAAGACTTCCTGGCCTCCAGAGGCTCCCAGAAGACAACAAGCCCAGCAGGCGCTAAGCAAGAGGAGAGCTTGGGGCTGCCTTCTGTGCTCAGAGAAGTGCTGACGGGGAAGCAGGGCACTCTGGCTGGGGGTGGAGGGTGGGTGGGCTTGCGGGAGCAGCAGGGAGGAGGAGGGGTGACCAGCTTCCCAGGGTGCCAGGACTCCTCCTTGGCTTGAAAGTGAAAATCCTCCCTTTGCTCCCAGCAGCGGCTTCACATTAATTATACCCTGTCCTCCACCTCTCGCTGTCATGGAACACGCCATCCTCATTTCCGCAACTGGATCACAAGTCCCCTAAACGCTGTAAAATTAGTGTGTTCCACACGAGGCCCGGGCACAGCGCAGGAGCATGATAACTTGCTCGTGGTAATGGCACAATCGCTCATAATCTTCGTCCCTCCGGCCCCACCAATCCCCACGCTCAGGGAGACCCGGCCTTCCCTGGGGACCACACAGCCCTCTCAGCACCCCGCCTGCAGTCAGAGATGGGGTGAGAACCAGACGTGCCCCTCCTAGGAGCTCCAGAGGAGCTCTGGTGGCGTAGTGGGTTACACATTGAACTGCTAGCCACAAGGGCTGCGGTTCAAGCCCGCCAGCCAGCTGCTGCGTGGCAGAAGGATGAAGCTATCGACTCCGGTAAAGATTTCAAGTCTCGGGAACCCGAAGAGGCCATTGGACTCTGTCCTGCAAGGCTCACTAAGAGTGGGCATCGACTCCTGGTGGCGGTGAGCTTCTTAGAGTTTCTTCAGGAGCCCGGGTGGCACTGTGGGTTAGGCGTGGAGCTGCCAAGCACAAGGTCTGTGATCCGCACTCATCTCGGGAGACAAACGTATAGATCTACAGTCTCATCTCAGAAACCTATCCCATCTAAGGTCACTGCGAGTGGGGATCAATTCGATGGCAGTGGGTTGGGTTTGGTGGGTGAGCGGGGGTACCTACAGAGGTCTAGAAAAGTTCATTCCTATTAGCATTAGGTCCAGGGCTGTTTGAGCCCAGTCCCACCCCCCCTGTTTTGCCCCCCAGACCAGACTTCCTCTAAGACGGGCTTTATTTCCAGGAACAAAGGGCTCTTTCAGACCCTCCACGTCCGCAGGATTGACGGCATCCCCTCTTCTCTGCTGGGAAAGTTCTGGTTTTTTATCTGCTCCTTGTCACTCAGGCAGGAGTTTCCCAGAATTCCCCATGCCACGCTAGCCTGGGTCTCTCTTCTCCCGCCCTTCCCTTGGAGATGCCCACGTTCTCTGCATGGCTCATCCCAGGTGCTGGGTCCATGCAGACAGCCAGGTAGCCGCAGTCCCCCACCCCGGTCGCCACTCCCTCCTTTGAAGACACTCACTTGCATTTTCTCCAGCATCTCGAAGAACTCCGCGGACTGAAAAACACAAAGAGGGTGGGGAGAAAGACGGGCGGTCAGCCAGGTGGTGCGCTGAGAAAGCTTCTCCTCACCAAGGTCTGGAAGCCCCGTCCGTCCCTGAGGGACAAACCCCGCTTGGATCAAGAGGGGTCATTGGTTTTGCCTGGGCGGGACTGCAGGACTGAACACCCTAGTCACCTAAAACCCAAAGCCACCACGGCTGACCGGTAGCCCCCCCAGAAGAGCAGCCGCTTGATTTCTGTCAGGAGAGATGCCAGTGCTGCCCGAGAAAAGCCAAGTTCCCCCCCAAAAGCCTGCCCGTCCTAGAACTCATCCCAGCCCCGCCAGCAGGATTCGGGTTTGGGGTGGGTTCAGCCCAACAGGGGGGCCAAGGAGATGACCAGCACACGTGGTCTCCACTTCAGTGGTAGCCCAGCCCTTTGTCTCCCCATACACGAGCCCACTCGACCCCCGTGTATAAAACAGACCAATAAAAACCGCTTTGGCCCGACTCCATGGGGGCTCCAGCTTCTGAGGTCCCACCTTCTCCCTGCCCCTTGCCCTTTGACCCTACAGGTTGTGAACCAAAGCCTGACGACCAACCAACTGCAGGCTTCAGAAGCCTTTTAGAAGCGCGGCACGGCGCTTGTCCCAGCCTTTACCCCACTCGGAGGCTGCCCTTGTCATTGACCTCCAGGTAGGGACAAGAGCAAGAAAGAGGAAGAGCGATGGGGAGGAGAGGAGATGGAAGCTCGGCCGTCAAAAAGCAAATGCGGAGTTTCCTCAGAAGCGCTGTCCTCCTGGCATCCCAAGGACCCCGCTCCACTTTCTTTCTTTTTTTTTTTTAACAAACATTTGGTTTATTAGATAATTCAAAAAACATTCAATATTTTATATCTGTATTAACTAATATTTGAGTCCTAATTTTTTTTTAACATTTTATTAGGGGCTGATACAACTGTTATCCCAATCCATACACACATCAATTGTGTAAAGCGCATTTGTACATC